TGCAGTGCTGGGGGATAGGATGGCTAGAAGGTTGGAGGAGATTTTAAACTAGTAATGGGGGGGAAGATATAGCAATCTAGAAAATGGTGATATGATAGAATGAGATGGGCTTTAGCTCAGTATAAGCGGGGTGGAAATGGGGGAGGGGCAAACTCAGAACAGAGGAGGTATGTAATATTGATGAAAATTCACATAAAGTACAAATGACTCATGATAATATTAAATGTATGTTCACTAATGCAACGAGCCTATATAACAAAATGGGGAAACTAGAGGCAATAGCATACATTAAACAATATGATATAATAGGCATAACAGAAACATGGTGGGATGAGACCCATGACTGGGCAGTTAACTTAAATAGGTACACGTTATTTAGGAAGGATAGGAAAAACAAGAAGGGTGGTGGGGTATGTTTGTATGTCAACAGGGGCGGACTGAGAACCCTCAGGGCCCCCGGGCAAAATAAATTAAGGGCCCCCTTACAGGCCCCACCCATACTCTGCAGCAAGCGCCACCCTTGTCCCGCCTCCATGCACCGCCTCCAGCCACACCCTACACAATCTTTAGACACAAGGAACAAAAGGGCAATAAGCCCTTCGAGGCCCCAGCAGAGACTACAATTGAGGGCTAATGGGCCATGGAGGGGGGTCTTTCTAGCGGAGGCTATCTCAGTGTCCTTTAGAGAGTGTGTTAGATAGAATCCCCTCCAAGCCCCATTAGAGACTACAATGGAGTCTAAAAGGCTTGGAAGGGGGTCTTTCTAACAGAGGCCATCTCAGCGTCCATTAGATATCCCCTGCTGGAAACAGTCGCCTCCAGGCCCCAGTAGAAACTACAATTGAGGGCTAATGGGCCATGGAGGGGATTTCTAGCAGAGGCTAGAGTCTAATGGGGCCTGGAGGGTGGTCTCTCCAACACTCTGGTTCCTATTTACAATATAGCAACACAACATAGCTCGCTGATACCTAAGCCAAGTTGGCTCCTCTTACCTTAATTACTGTTGCTGGCTGGCAGTCTGTGGGCTTGCTGGCTGCGGCTGGCAGGCTGTGGGCTTGCTGGCTACTGCCGGCAGGCTGTGGGCTTGCTGGCTGCGGCTGGCAGGCTGTGGCTTGCTGGCTGTAAGCCTGTGGCTTGCTGGCTGTAAGCCTGTGGCTTGCTGTAGGCCTGTGGGCTGGCTACTGGCCTGTGGGCTGGCTAACTGGCTGGCTACTGGCCAGCCTGTGGGTTGGCTGGCTGGCTACTGGGGCACTTGTAGATTATTTAAAAAAATAATCCATGCACAATAACCACTACTGCTCCAGAGTAAGTAGTCAAACCGTTTAAGAACAGTTTGACAACTTACCTGGGGTCTGCTGGGATATGAGGCTGTAGTAGGGAATAGGAGCAGTGGTGCAATGTGTGTGAAAGGTTCAGTGTGTGTGTGGGGGTGTAGTGTGTGAATGTGTAGGGTGTGTGGGCTGTGTATGTGTGTGGCAATGTTAGTATGGGGGGCTGTGTATGGGGGTCTGTGTGTATATGGGTGGGCAGTGTATGTGTGTGTGTGAGGCAATGTGTGTAAATGTGTATGGTGTGTATGGGGGCAGTGTGTGAATGTGTATGGTGTGTGTGTGGGGGCAGTGTGTTTATGGGGCTAGAGTTCACTCTCACCACTGCGACCACCAGGAATCCATGGGGGTTACAGTGTTGAGAGTGAACTCTAGCCCGTAGCTCCAGGGCTAGAGTTGACTCTCGCAAGAGCAGTAACGTTGCCATGGGAACCGCGGCAACGCTCTGTGCTCGCGCAAGAAGGACCCAGAGGAGCTGCAGGGTGAGCTCCCAGGTCCTCTCTTCCTCCCCTGCCCGCACGGTGCCTGCGGACAGGGGAGGGGGGGCATTCTTCCCTCTCTGTCTCCCCACTCCCCATCTCTCTATTCCCCCTGTGTCTCATTCTTCCCTCTCTGTCTCTTTCTCCCCCTCCCCATCTCTCTATTCCCCCTCTTTCTCCCCGTGTCTCATTCTTCCCTCTCTGTCTCTGTCTCCCCCTGTGTCTCATTCTTCCCTCTCTTTCTCCCCATCTCTTTATTGCCTCCCCTTTCTCCCCCTTCCCCATCTCTATGTCCCCCCTCCCCATCTCTCTATTCCCCCTCTTTCTCCCCCTCTCCATCTCTCCCCCCTCTTTCTCCCCCCTCCCCATCTCTGTTTTCTCCCCCCCCTCCCCATCTCTGTTCCCCTCTCTCCCCCCCTCCCCCATCTCTGTTCCCCCTCTTTCTCCCCTCCCCCATCTCTCCCCCCCTTTCTCCCCCTCCCATCTCTGTTCCCCCTCTTTCTCCCCCCTCCCCATATCTCTGTTCCCCCTCTTCTCCCCTCCCATCTCTCCCCCCTCTTCTCCCCATCTCTCCCCCTCTTTCTCCCCTCCCCATCCTCTCCCCTGTTTCTCCTCTCCCCCTGTTTCTCCCCATCCTCCATCTCTCCCCCCTCCCCATATCTCTGGTCCCCCCTCTTTTTCCCCCACTCCCCATCTCTCCCCCTCCCCATCTCTCCCCCCTCTTTCTTCCCCCCTCTTTCTCCTCCCCATCTCTCCCCTCTTTCTTCCCCCTCTTTCTCCCCCCTCCCCATCTCTCCCCCTCTTACTAAAGGTCAGGCCCGTTGATGCTGCAGCCGCCGGTCCGGCGGCATTCCTCTGACTAACACTGAAGGAGGAGGAGGAGGAGCATGTGTCTATCATGCTCCTTTGCGGTTCCCACATCCTGTGCTGTGAATTGTGGGAACCGCAGGGACACATGCTCCTCCTCCTCCTTCTGTGTTAGTCAGAGGAATGCCGCCGGACCGGCGAGGCTGCTACCCGGTCCGGCGGCTGCAGCATGAAACGGCCGCCCCCCCCCCCTCACAGTGTGCCACCGGGCCGGCCACCCGGTGGCACCTGCAGTCCCCAAATGCCGCCCACAATCTAGCCCTGCCGCCGGGCCCCCTGAAGGCGGCCCTTGCGGCGGGCCCCCCTCCCGGCCGGGCCCTCGGACCGTGTCCGAAGTGCCCGACCGGTCAGTCCGCCCCTGTATGTCAACCATCAGTTAAAGTCAAATCTTAGGCATGTGGAGGTTGACGAGAAAAATGTGGAAGCTTTACGGGTAGATATCTGCTTGGGGCAAACAAAGGGAAATCAATTATTGGTTGGGATATGTTATAAACCACCAAATGTAAATATTAATGAAGAAGAACAGCTGTTAGAGCAAATTAGGAAAGCTGCAGATCTGGGTAACACGTTAATTATTGGAGATTTTAATTACCTGGACATAAATTGGGATAGAGTGACTAGTACTTCAGCAAGGGGAATCAGGTTTTTGAATGTGTTAAATGACAACTTCATGTCACAACTGGTACAAGCACCAACTAGAAAGGATGCTTGTCTGGATCTCGTTATAACAAACAATGTTGATCTTTTAACCAACGTTCAAGTAGGGGAGCATTTGGGAAATAGTAATCATAATATAGTAATTTTTTAAATAAATTTAAAAAAGCAAAAGCACGTGGGGTAGACTAAAACGTATAATTTAAAAAAAGCCAATTTCAATAACATTAGGGCAGCTCTACAACATATATACTGTCATAAACTCCTTCGTGAAAAAAACACAGAGGATTAATGGGAAATCTTCAAACAAATATTAGAAAGGTACATTTCTCAGTATGTACCATTGGGTAATAAATATAAAAGAAACAAATTAAAACCAATGTGGCTTAGTAGAGAAGTAAAACAAGAGATTAAAAATAAGAAAATGGCATTTAAAGCATTTAAGTCGGACAAATCAGAGACATCCTATATAAGATATAAGGAAGCCAATAATGCTTGCAAAAAGGCATTTAAGGTGGGTAAACAAGAAAATGAGAAATTGATAGCCGAAGAATGTACATCAATTCTAAAAAGTGTAAGGACACTGGAATCAGAGATGGGTCTGTTAGTTAATGAAGACCAGGAAAAGGCAGAATTTTTAAATAACTATTTTTTTTTGTATATATTAATGAAGATCCTATGGCAAGAGATATGCAAATGATTGCTGCAAAAAGTTTGCAGATAACTTGTGATTGGATGACTCGAGACAAGGTGCTACAGCAGTTAAAGAAAATTAATGTTAATAAAGCTCTGGGGCCTGACGGTATTCACCCACAAGTACTTAAGGAGCTAAGTGGGGAAATAAGTGAACCTCTGTATTTAAGCTTTTGTGACAAGACCAATCTCGCCACATTGCATTGGAGAAGCCTGGTTGCTCGCCGGCTACCTTTGGACTATGACCCCCATGTTAAAAGACTTTGTTTCGCCTGCAGAAAAGCTGTATTCAAGGCGGAGCCTGACAGCAGAGGCAAGCAGACGCAAGACTCAGGAGCTGCGAGGACAAAACGGAGAAAATAAACTTAAAAACGGCTGATACGACCCACAATAACCACTGACTACAAGCGGGCACCCCTTAAGCACTAATGGGACGCAAACACAAGAAACTGTTGCCGGACAAACCAGCCCCAGGACTCACAATAGGGGATATGTGGCGACAAGCACGCGGCCCGAGCGGATCCAATATGGCGGCGCTCCACGGAGGCTGCTCGGATTTCTCCGACGACTGCTCAGAGGGAGCTGACGATGAATGCCTCCTAGCCCCAGACCCAATGCCGAGGGCAAAACCCAACAAACCTAGGAAGGACACAGACGCCGAACTGGTAACAACCGGGGTATTAAAGACCCTGCTAGCAGACCAACAAAAGAACATCCTCACGGATGTCACTGCACTAAGGGGAGAGCTGAAGGGCCTGACAGGCCGCATCACTGTACTAGAGGAATCATCCCAAGAACAGCAGCACACTATCGCCTCACTGCAAAGCGACATACGGGACCTGCGCAACCAAACTATGCTGTATGAACGGCGCTTCGCAGCCCAAGAAGACGCAAGACGGAGACTTAACATTAAGGTCAGGGGACTCCCAGAGGGGTTGCCAGAGGCTGACCTACCGCACACGATCAAACGCCTGCTTGCCACCATTCTGCCCACGGACCAAGCCAGGGCCGTCATGCCCACGGATCTCTTCCGGATCCCAAAGTCCGCTGGGGCCCCAGACATGGCCACAAGGGACACTATACTTACATTTAAAAATGGGACTGACAAATCGACGGTTCTCACAGCCATCCGGGGTAAAACCCCCATACAATTTGAAAACGCTAAACTAACCTTTTACGCCGACCTATCCAGTGGAACTCTGGCGTGGCGCAGGTCAATGCGGCCTCTCACCTCCACACTCCGGCGCAACAACATACCGTATCGCTGGCGGCCCTCACACTTGCTCCAGGTACAACAAGGCGAAACAACACACCAAATTTACAGTATGCAAGACGCAGAGGCCCTTCTGCACACCCTAGATCCATCACTGGACTCACGCCTACAAGCGGGACCTTGTGCCCCCGCCACCCCGACTCACAGCTGGGACCCAGCAAACAGTGCCCCATTCAGACCGCGGAGCACCACGCCGGTCACCTACGCCTCAGTGACCACATAAATCTTCAGCATCCACCCACTTCCAGCCTCCCACCCCGGGGCATCGGCTGATCTGCTCATTACCTGGACTGCACCCACGCACTACCGACACACAGAGCGGCGCATTCCAAGTGGAAAAGTCTTCTGGGAGGTCTGACGAAGACCGAAGCAAAACCCCACTTTCTCTAGGCATCTGAAGAATGGCTACTGAACTTTGCGGAACTTTATTTAATTTAATTTTTTTTTTTTTTTTTATTGCTTTGTTTTGTTACTACGTAGATCATATACCAGTTGCCATAAAACGCTGGGCTGCTTGCATTTTGGTTGACTCTGGCAGTTAAGCTCTTGGCATCGGCTACAAAGCTCTCAAGGACGCTCAGAGCACGCATACAATGCTTGCGGTACCCATATGTTGACTAGCCACCCAATGGTTATTATTGTTCTTGTTTTATGTTAATTGTTTTTTTGGTTCTACGGCGAGTACCTAAATTTCACCACTGAGCCATGCTATAATTTATGTTTAGCACGCAAAACGTCTGAATATTGCACAGACATCTTAGCTTAGCCTGTGATCACTGGTTCATACCTTATATCTCATGGTTACCTCAAGTTAACTCCTGCGTAACTATTAATGTACAATTGTACTAGTCTCATTACGTGCCCCCACCCTGTTTGGATGCCTCATAGGCTCTGCTGGCCCGTAGCCAGGCTGTGGGACAGGACTAGCCATCTTATATCAATATTGACTGCTTGCAATGTCTGACCACAAATAGTAATAGGAACACAAGCTCAATTGTTTCAAGCAGCATGTATAGCCAGATTACTACTCTCATTTTACTAAACCTGTCTGAGCTTACCTTTAAACTTATATTTGCGCTATATTCTAATGACAAAACGGGATAGCCAGGCTGATGATTGGCATAACTATACGTATAACACTGTGCATTTCTCATGCCACTGCCCAATTTACGTACAACCTCAATGCTGTTTATAAGCTAAAATTGTGCGAAAGGAAAGGGAAAGGGAAACGGAAAAAAACGGGAAGGGGAAAAAAAATAAAAATAAATAAATAAATAAAAAATTTAAAAAAAAAGGGAGCCCACTGCCAGAACTACTAAAATGCTCAGACCATAACCAAACAAAACCATGCAGTCGCAAGGGGTATATACTCCTACCTTGCTTAAATTGCCATCATCAGGTATACAACCAAATTTAGCTACTTCCCTTCACTAGTCACTCCAGACTTTTACTGTCTAGCCTGTTTAGCCTGCGGGATATATATAACTTAACAAGGTGCCACTATATTACTCCACTACATTACTTTGGTCACTCATGTTTTTCCTCCACCAGTGTTGTGAGGCTTAATCGTTCTTACTAACTTGCCTAACACGACTCGTCACTAAGACACTCTCTGCCCAGACAAACAAGTGTTATGTTTAACTAGTCACCATACTTTAAATATAAAATTTCGTGCTGTTCTCTCAAATGATGCAAAGTATTGTCTCTAACAGTTCTCAATGTCAACCTACATGTATCATTGAATGTACTGCAAATCCTCGCATTTGCTGTTGTGGCAATGCAGGAGGTATTGTAATCTCATGCACGTTCAAAAATAAAGAATAAAAAAAAAAAGAAAAGCTGTATTCGTGCTTTTCTGCCGGTTGTTCGGTAGATTCAATCTACCAAACAACCGCACGAATGAATAGACCACCTGGGAGCTGGAGTGTGCCGGCAATTAACCTCCCTGAAGCTGCGGTTAACCGCAGCTTAATTGACAATTACTGGGTGGTCGCGGTTACACCTAGCCACCACACAATGGCGGTGTTATGGAAGCTCCATGGGTAGCCAGCACTTGTTCTACCCAGCGGCAGGACACCAAAAGCGGACACTTTTGTCTTACAAGCCCCGCTGAGGCTGGAAGTCTGCAAACCCGTTCGGGAACCGAACAACGGAGCATTCGGGACTTTTAGTGCTGCAATTGTATTCGGTGTGCAAGTACCCAGATAGCCTGCCATGGAGCCTGTTCGTGGAATTAAAGACTTTGGCTCCATGGCGATTAAACTGTATTCGTGTGGTCTGAGCGCCATTCACTTAATAATGTGCGCTCAGACCTGAGCTATCTGGGGATATGTTAAATGTATAGTTTTAATGTAATGTATCTTACCTGGTGTATTTTAACAGTAATGCTTGTTTTAGTATCCCCACGTGCATAATGGCGATTTGCCTTTGTCTTGGGAGATAATTGAATTACTTCTCAATTATCTCCCAGGGCAGAGGGGAGGAAGCCAGGATGCATTGTGGGAATATATTGTGACTGTGTGTCCTATTTGTCTGCTTGTCTGTCCCTTGTCACAGTCTCCCATTTGGTCCCCTAGGGGAGTGTCCACCAGGTGGGAGACCTGCATAAATACTGGGCAGGTAGCCCTCATTAAACAGACCACTGCTTGACCCTCAACACGGAGCCTTGTCTCGTCTTTGGGGGGATTTACTGAATGCTGATAGAGACTGATTGCTAGGAGTGTAAACCGCTTGGATGCTTTTCCTATTCGTCTGCTAGCAGTGATTCGTATGGTTCCTGTTCGTGTGTTTGGAGTGCTATATTGGATGCCGTTCGGGAGTTTGGAGCATTCACTTATTGGCGGTTCGTGTGTTTGGTGTTTTACAATAGCTGTGCCTGCATCTCTGGAAAGGGGGACGATCGCCTAAACGGTTTTTAACCCTTGTGTGCAAAACGGTCCGTTACAGCTTTCAATATTCTTTTGTTTCAGGTATTGTACCGGAGGATTGGAGGAAGCAGAAGTCGTTCCTATATTTAAAAAGGGTTCAAAATCCTTGCCTGGAAATTATAGACCTGTGAGCTTAACTTCTGTGACTGGGAAAATATTGAGGGCTATTAAGGGATACTGTTCAGGAATCCATTGGGAAGAACTTTTTTATTAGCAATAATCAGCATGTGTTTATGAAACATAGGTCATGTCAAACTAACCTAATTGCATTTCACTAAGAAGCAAGTAGAAGTATAGATCTGGGTGTTGCAGTGGATGTGATCTACTTGGATTTTGCCAAGGCATTTTATATGGTTCCTCACAATAGGTTGGTCTTCAAACTAAAAGAAATTGGCCTAGATTAATATTCTTGTTCTTGGGTAGAACATTGGCTTAAGGATAGAGTACAACGAGTTGTCATTAATGATACATTTTCAAGCTGGACAAAAGTGGTAAGTGATATCCTTCAGGGTTCTGTTTTGGGACAGCTTCTATTTAACATATTTATAAATGATCTTGAAATAGGCATTCAAAACATATTTTAGTATTTGCTGGGATACAATAAACCAAAAAGAAATGCACCTTATACACACACTTATATACAAGGATACTTATCAGTGGTTAGTGAATGCAGCCTCCCTCAGATCGCTCCCAGCTAGCAATCAACTTGAACACAAGAATATACAAAACACAACGAGGGAACCGGCTGATTGTCTAAATGAAGATAAATAAAAAGAGGTATAGTGTAATACAGTTTTAAAATATTAACACTGCGCAATATGAAATGCACTCACAGGATATTGGACAGTTCAGGCATATATGGTGCCACCCCTGATGATATGGGGGGCTAGAGAAATCCCCTGGACACTTCCACTCAAAATGCAGGACTCCAGGTGAAGATATGAAAAAAGCGGCTTTAATTGTTTAAAAATATAAAATAGATACAAATAAAGGTCCTACGCGTTTCGTCCCTTCTACAGAATATGGGACTTCCTCAGGGACCAAAATATTAAAATAACAATCAATGCAGTACAATCACAAAAACAGCCTAACATCCCTCCACCCTCAAGTCCTTTAAATAGGGCTAATCCCTAAATGTAATTAATCACATGTGCCTCTCTGTCCTTCCTCATTGGTCCTGTGTAGATGAGTTTCATCTGTTGAAGATCTTATTCCCAGGTGTTCACAGATGATCTTCATCATTTTTGTAATTCTCCGGTTATTATCCTGTAGAAGGGACGAAACGCGTAGGACCTTTATTTGTATCTATTTTATATTTTTAAACAATTAAAGCCGCTTTTTTCATATCTTCACCTGGAGTCCTGCATTTTGAGTGGAAGTGTCCAGGGGATTTCTCTAGCCCCCCATATCATCAGGGGTGGCACCATATATGCCTGAACTGTCCAATATCCTGTGAGTGCATTTCATATTGCGCAGTGTTAATATTTTAAAACTGTATTACACTATACCTCTTTTTATTTATCTTCATTTAGACAATCAGCCGGTTCCCTCGTTGTGTTTTGTATATTTTAGTATTTGCAGGTGACACAAAACTTTGTGAAGTAATGAAATGTGAGCAGGATATTGCTTTGCTGCAGAGGGATTTAGATAGATTGAGGGACTGGGCACTAAAATGGCAGATTAAATTTCATGTAGAGAAATGCAAAGTTATGTACTTTGGGATCAAGAATGCACAAGAAATTTACACCCTAAATTGAAGTGAATTAGGGATAACAAGGATTTGGTAATTGTTATAGATGAAAAATTGGGCAGCAATATGCAATGTCAATCTGCAGTTGCTAAGGCTAGTAAGGTTTTGTCATGTATAAATAAGGGCATAAATTCTAGGGATGGAAATATAATTTTGCCTCTTTATAAATAGCAGGTAAGATCACACTTTGAATATGCTGTGCAATTTTGGGCACCTGTTCTATATGTAGGATATTATGGCACTA